CTTTGAAAACTAAACAAACCCTTTTTCAGTGACAGTCTGGTGTTTCATTTACAGTGGGGTCTCGACTTATGAACTTAATCCGTATTGGAAGGTGGTTCTTAGGTCAAAAAGTTCTTAGGTCGAATCTGCATTTCCCGTTTAATCTGTATCTACTCTTTTCCATCCATAGAAACTAATGGGAAGCTGCTATTCCGCCTTCTGCCACTACAGGGGGATATATTTTTATTTTTTTCCCTTAGGTTCAGGAAACGAGGGGGAAGGCAGGGAACAGTTTGCAAAGCACTTTAGAAATCTTTTTTTTTCAACGAAGCCAATTTTAAATCATGTTTTAAAGCATGTTGTGCTGATTTTTTCAGCACAAAGACACACAGGCAGGCTTTTAAGATGCTGAGCAAGCCTCCCCAAGCCTCTTCAGAGCCAGCCCATCAGCTGATAGGCGGGGAGAGGGGGGAGCACAAAATGGCTGCCAGGCTCCCTTCTGGGTGTTGGCTTTTAGCTGTTTCCTGCTCTTTTTCCTGCTGTTTGGGGGCTACCAAGACCTGGTAAGTGGCTTTCTTTTATTTATTTTTAAGTTTCTGACCCTTTTTTCCTGTACGTAACTCGAGGGAAGTTCGTATGTCGAGTCCTTATTTCCCCTATAGGGTGGGTTCGTAAGTTGAATTGTTCACAAGTAGGGTCGTTCGTAAGTCGAGACCCCACTGTAACAATTTGCAACTTGAAAGATTAAAGCCCTGTTTGTTTGTTATCTAAGCAAGTGGTGTCTACACGGATTGAGGAGACCGTGTTAGGCCTGCTCTCCTGTCCACCTTTGTTTTCAGTTAAAAAACCTGACAACCCGAAGTCTTTTTGTATCTACCAGGCAAAAGCAAAATAAAAATAAAAAATAAAGAAGAGAAAAATATTGTGACACCTTAAAGACTGCTATATGTTAATGTGAGCTTTCATGGACAAATCAACTTCCTCAGACATAATAGTGTGTCGTTTCTCCATGTGAGCCAGAATCTGGAAAAAAGTCTTACACCTTGTTTTGAAGGGATTTCACAAAACCAGGGAAAGAAATCTGGTCTTCCGAACACTTCGTTACAGAATTGGCTGAGCAGGTTAGACGGCTGGAGCAGTTAGATAGAAATTTGACTCCATTTAAAATCCAAAGGTTGCCTTGGATGTTGTATTTCATTTAACAAACCTAAGGAAATACTTTTCGACAGACATATGGAGGCACACGCAAACATGCTTCTTATGGCCTCAGTTTTACCAGCCAGAAGAGCAAGCAGGAAGGAGGACAGTCTTTCAAAAAGAGAATTAGTAACATACAGTAATTGCCAAATCGATCTGTCACAAAAAATAAAGATTAGATTGCTGATACTCAGTTCATACTGGAGATCAAAATACTTGCCTGATTGCTGAGGCAAATAGTATAATCAAACTGAAATTCATACTTTTGAATCCTAAGTATAGGCTCGTAAACCCTTTGGGGAGGACTGCGTTTCTTCTGTTTCTTGTACAGCGTTCTGTGTGTGTTGGAACAGAATAACTTTTTGTACATTTCCAAATATTTGCATTTTTACATTTAGTGCTCTTTTAATCAATTGTGTGCAGAACTGAACACCAGCATGGGGAGATGGGCCTTTCTCTGGAGCCTTTTCTCCAGTTTAGCCATGGATGCAGCCTGAAGAAAGACGAATTGTCCATGAATAGTAGGAAAAAAAATTCTCTCTTGGCTGGAGGTGATCCCTTAAATGCGTGGCTTAGCCACAGGTTGGCCATTCGAGATCGGATGAATGAATTCACATTCTTCCTTACAGCACAGCTTAATTGGAATAGTTTTTACTTGAATGAAAACAGAGATTGGTTGCTGCCTATCTTTTTTGAGTAAATGAAGCAGTTTTTTTAAAAAAAGTTGTGCATACATCTCTAATTTATTTATGTTAATTTTCCAAATTTTTAAAATTAATACGACAAAATTGAAGGAGAACACTAGGCTATATAAATGTTTTTGTTCGAAGAGGGGTTGGGCATATTTAAAACAGCAACAATTTATTGAGCCAGTTCACATTTTTTAAAAAATTCTGGATTAACTGAACCATGTTTGACCCCTTTTGATATGCTGTGGTGATTTTAGGGTAGCAAGTACATTAATTGCAGCTTGATATCCTATAGGCAGTAATTTTTGCTTCTTGTCTTTGGCAAGTGGGAGGAATTATTTAACCTTGGAGAGAGATTACTTGGGGTGTGTTCCTAGGATTGTGTTTGCTTTTCTTTGTTTCTTCTTCCTCTTTAAAAAGCCTTCCAGTCCCTTAGAACAAGTGTTCTCAAGCAATAATACAGGCTTCCCAGTGAAAAGCCTGGGCAGTTGTTGTAAAAAGGTCAGACTTACGGAGGGATTCCACTTTTCCAATTATTGTTGTGATTTTTCACAGGAGGTAGCAGCTTGTTTTGAAACATCATGTTCTTCATCCATCACCCACATACTCATAATTGGTACTACCTCAGTTCTTATGAGATCGCCCCCTTCATTTGCAACTACTGCTTCAGTTATTTC